ACTTTTATTTTAGCTCAGCGTTTCTCAAAGTAAGCAATAACGCCCCCTTCTTGGCGATGAATAGATCTAGGGGGCGCTGGAGGCAGGGTATTGAACGGTGATTAAACGTAAAATTGGGGATGATCAGAGGAAACATTGCATTTAATGGTTTCCAGATGATGAGAACAATGTAAAGTAAGGGCACAAAGTGTGAGATTCATAGAAAAGTTTTCCTAAGAATATTTCCAATCCTTTTCTCACACAAGAGAAAATGGGTTAGGGGGCGTTGGGTATAACTTTATGGAACAAAGGGGGCGGTGGATCGAAAAAGTTTGAGAATCACTGATCTAAAGCATAAGAAGCACAGCACTGCAATGAAAGGAAGAGCTGTATGGTCAATATCAAACACGTTGGTCAATAATACTCCCTTGAGCTTTCCTAAAACATTCATTTAGAAAGAAACCAAGCAGAATTTTTACACTGAAGCAAAACATATGTCACAGGTGACACACAAATACTACACTGCCTGAATCACTAAATATTAATTCTTAAATTTTTATCTTTCCATATATACAATAAAAAAAATATATATATATATATTATTGAAAAATAGTAGAACAATAAAAAATTACACAAGTAAAATAATAAATATTTATAAAGGTATCGATGACCTTGGATATTTCAAACATTCCAATAATCTGATATTTTAACCATAACTGAGATATAGTCGACGTTAATACTTTTAAAATGCCATAAAATAGGCAGTAGAATATTTAGGACATTAGGTGAATAAAAATTTCATGCTTTAAAATACTATTACATAGTTCACATCAGCCGAATCTCATTCTTACGATTCAGCCAACTATATCCAACAAGAACCTTGTTTAGAATAACTTTAGCAATTGCAAATAGGAAACACGCAGGATTGATCTCATAGAACTCATAAACACTCCAAACAGATCTCTCTAATTATTACAATTGTTTATGTCAAATTTTTTTTTGTTTTATTATTATTATTGTTGAATCATTTGTATAGTTTATAATATGGGTGTAATTGTTAAAATAGGGGTGCAAATCAACTATCTATGGACATTTCCTTAACTGTACAATAAACAAATAAATAAATCCCTTAGCACGTGAACCATTTATCTAATATGTTTATTTAATTAAAATAATTATAACTGAGATCACTTAAACCATTAACATACTTTTTTAATTACCGTTGAAAAAATTAATTATATCTTTGAATAAGAACAATAAACAAGCAAAAAAAAATATGAAGTTAATGACTTGAATATATAAAACAGTAATTGATAATGATAGAAAACAGTGAGCATTATCTAACATAATAAAAAGTTTCAAAATTAATTAGGAAATCTAAAACTTAATACTGTATATAATTCCCACAAATTTAAATAATAATAAATTTCAATTGCCAATGATTTTACATTAAGCATTATGACTTCTAAACAAACAATCACGGCATTACAATATAAAATTTGATTAAAAAAGTAAGCATTCGGTGATTGTTATCTGAAGGTCAATAGACCTTTTCTAGATATGGTAAGATGTATTTTCACTTAGAATTATTTCCATTTTTTTATAATTAACTGCAATGTCTTTATATTATATTACTAATATTAATCATTGAATGCACGTATAGACTGTCATTATATTTGTGAAAATAATAGTCTAAATATAAGTAACACATATCCTATTTTGTACAGTACATGATTACTTACTAATAATGACTCAAATTTAGCACAAAATACCACATATATATAAATACCCATATATAAATATTGAATTTAAGAAAAAAACATCAATACTCTGTAATTGTCAACTATAAACAAGCATATTTGTTTTGAGTATCAATAAGCAATCACATCATTATAATTCAAACAATAATTTTAATATATAATTCATCAAAAAATACAAATATAAATACACATATACTGTACATGCATTTATTTATATAAAATATGAAGTAATAGTATCTTAATATTACAAAAATACTAGTCACGTCTTCCCCGCATCACTCAAACTTTCAAGGGGATAGAGAATCGGCAAGGTCAGATCGGGAGAGGGCGATAAAAACAACGGTCTTAGTATCTAAAATGTACAGTTATCAACCAGAGTATTTATGATAACGAAACTGGGAAAATACTGCTCTGGCTTAAGTTAAGAGGGGGTGGCTTTAGAGTTGTTTGTTTATTAAGTTACGGCAATGTAACACTGGCGATCTGCCTAGGGGGATGCCCTCCAAAAGATCTTTTTAAGGGTAACTGGCACCTATTCAGGCGTTACAGATGTGGAGAAAACCCGGAGAACTCCATGCGGCCAGCCCATCCCGGCGAGGCACAAATCCACTATCAAACTCCCATCGTTCAGGGAACGGAACCACTCGGCCTCCAGTGGGCCAGGTGGCTTTAGGGACGATCACAGGGTGGGGCAGCACTGTATTTTTTCTAGGGCATCCAAGAATATTCAGGCCAAATTCAGTGCCGACACTATCGAAGGATATACAATCCTTTACCTAACACGCACAGATATATATTTTGACATTTATAAATATATATAAATGTAAAATTCAACAAGAAAAACATCAACATTCAATGATTATCAGCTGTAATCTAACACTTGTTTTTGATTATTAATAAAAAAGATGACATTACAATCCAAAAACAATAGTTAAACTTTAATATAAAATTTATCAAACAAGAAGAACGTAAACATATATACGTGTCTCGATACATATATAAAATTACCTATTTTAACATTATTAATATATAACACCAATGGGTAGAAGTTACTCACAGGTAATTTAAGTATATGTACTGTAGTACATAAATTAAGCATCAGTGTAAGTACTTTATGTGTACATACATAAACTATTCACACTTTGGACTTATTAAATGGTAAATAACGTGTTTTTCAATGTATGAATGAAATAAAAGATGGGAAAAACTCACCCAAAATCATCATCCATAGATTTAAAGAAGAATTTATAATTTGGTCTATTGAGTACATTCTTGAAATCTGAAAGTGTAACTCTGTCTGGTGGTATTGGTAGTTTAACAAGATATGGAGTCTCTTCATCATCTATGTGATAGATAATTTTAGTTTCATCCATTTTCATCCAGTTTTGAGCCTTTTTGACATCCCAAATGGAAACTCGAAATACAGCTCAACAAACAAGATGGCGGCCACCTAGATGGACGCAGCCCCTTCTTTCAAAGGCAAGTTTAACCTAAATTCTCATCCTCATTTATAATTCTAATTAAATAACTAAATAAAAGTTTTATCGTATAACAATTTACGTCGTTATTAATCATAATACGGTTATAAATTCTTACGGTAATTAAACATTTATACCAGAAAACTTTTCCCTTATTTGACAATCTACTTTCCCTTTTCCTTCAAAATGGAGTCGGCCTGATATCATTACGTTAAGTGACGTCACCCGAAAGTGTAATTACGGTTTATTTTATTTTATTTTATTTTTTTCATCCGCCCAAATTTTAATTTTTAATTAAATATATTAATTACGTATTAATAATTTATAATGGATTAGAGATATTAATAAGTTAACATTTAGTTTTGGGAATTTAAGTAAATGTAATTCTATCGTCGAAACCTTTCGGTCGTTTGGGGAGTATGTACGCCATTTTAATCTTTCGTGTGCGGAGCGGACGAGAATTAAAATCACGCTTTTATAGTGAAAAATAACTTTTATTATTAAAATTTTCGCTTAATAAACTTAACTAAGAGCCAATTAAATGGTTTTGTATCGATGTTTGATGGTTTCCTTAATGACAATTAATAATAATCGTTTAAAGAAAAATGCATCGGTCATATTGACGACGAAAAACAGGAAATTAACAATTCAACGAATTAATTTGTGAACGGATCACTTTTTAAAGGTAAAATGCATTAAGTTTTTGTGTAGGAAACGTTATTTTTAACGTATTTATTTCATTATTTCGTGTTTTAATTGTATTTTACTGCCTCCAATGCATCAAAACATGTATATGTGACAGATACATACATGAAATTGGTAGAGGTTACTTTAAGGTAAATTGTGTATAAATGTACATAATCTTGTCAAAAGTGCATTTATTTACTTCCTCTACTTTTTCTTCTTCTTCTAAATTGTATATTTGGTACGTCTGATTATGCCATCGAGATGGCCGTACGTCGTACCCGTGGGAGCAAAAGAGTCGAAGGAACCGTACCTCTGCGCGCGACCCTTTGTCGGATGCGTCTCCTCGAAAACTGCCTACTTCTGGGTTGTGCGCCACCGGGAGTTGCCTCGCTCTGCTAAGAATATTGTGTTTAACTCTAGCCCACTTGATGATGTATAGTTTTATAGAATATTGTGTTTAACTCTAGCTCACAGAGTGCTTGATGATGTATAGTTTTAGAGGGTGTGGGGGCTTGCTCCTGTGATATGTGGCAGTATACTGGTATGCTGTAAAAATTGATTTTTGGAGGCAAACATCTGGTCGAGGGTCATTTATATGGGTATGGTTCCTTTAACTTTATTGCTCATATCGGGGTGGAAAACCTTCATTCAGAGTCTTAGTTTTTATCTTCCATTGGAATTGTCACTATCTTGTTTGTCGTATTGTCTTGGTAGTTGTTTCATCTGTTACAGCTGTTGTGGCTAAATTCCTATCAACAGTCTTTGTAAAGAGTATTGGAATGTTTTTCTATGTTCAGTCTATCAAAATGTGTAAATAAGGCAAATTAGATGATGCTTCGGTATGTGCAAACTGTAAAAATTAGCCCTGCACTTATTCTCTTCACTTAATTTTCCATTTTTTTAAAGTGTATTAAATGATAAAAAGAAATAAAAACAATTTCATGTATCTTTTCATTGTTCAGTCAATTGTTTATCACATTCTGCTGTCTTGGTATCGACCAGTTTGATCTGTTACGGCTAAAGTACACTTACTTACTAGTTGATAAAAAAAGACTTAGTTTTTGTCTCTTCATCAACGGAAATAAACCATTATTGCTAAATCCCTCGTCAACAAACTTCCATTGCTTTGTTAAAATTACAGGAATGTTTTTCTATCTTCAATTATTCAAAATACATAAATAAGCAGATTAGGCGCAGCTTTGATACGTACTAATTATTAAAAAATAACTGTATATTTATTCTTCAGTTTGTTTTTAAGTATATAAAATGATTATCATTCAATTGAAAGGTAATAATAACAATTTTAAGTATCTTTTGGCATTGTCAATAATTTGTTTGTCTGATTCTGTCTCGGTAATGTTTGATCTATTAAAGCTCGTGTAGTCAAAAACTTTGTCAACAAAGTGTTCCATTGCTTTATAAAGACTGTAGGAATATTTTTCTATCTTAAATCTATTGAAATATGTAAGTATATAGTTAGGCACTGCCTCAGTATGTGCTAAGTATAAAAAAAATAGTTTATTCTCTCAACTTGATTTTCCTTTTTTTAAAGTATATTAAATTACCCAATTAAAAGGAGATTAAAAACAACTTTATGTATTTTTTTTATTAGCATAGTCAATAACTTATTTCATAAATAATCTGTTGTGGTACTCTTTGATCTCTTAAAGCCATTGTACAAAATCCTCCATCAGTAGATGGTCCATTGCTTTGCAAAGAGTACAGAGGTGCTATTTTTTTTATATATATATAAATATTTAAATGCCATTTAATGCTACCGGTTTAATTAAATTCCTGATATTTTTTTTTGCTGATATTTTATACTTGCATTGGATGCTAATTACTTCTATTTTGTATTCTAGGTAATTAATTGGATTTAAATACCAGATATTCGGTATTACATTAAAATATTGATAGATTCCTGTATTGACCAGTTATATTTGACATGTTTTAAGAAATTTTTTTTATGTGCGGATAAGTGAATTTATAATTAACATTAAGTGTGATTAATAACCGTATCCTATGCATTGTGAAATGTTTACAATGTGTGACTAATGTATTATTTATGTTAATTTTCTGACAATAGTGCTATATGGCATATATATATTTCTTTGTCAGATAATTCTTCTAGCTTTGGTTTTAAATTTTGATTACCATTAATTAAGTAGAAATAGTATTAGGCTTTATCCTGTTTTAAATTATATTCTCTGAATATAATTTCTTGAGAACGGATGGAGTGTGTTGAAACTTTCTAAATTTCTGTAAAGTTTGAAAGGTCGACTTATTATAAATCCTTAAATGTACGATTTGATGATACTATAAATGTTGTTTGAACTTTAAACATATTTCGAATTTTGTTTCCAGATGAGTTATCCCATTTACGAATTGTAAATCACTCAACCCAGAATTGATACCAGATCAATGAACTATAAATTTCTTTTGGTCTATTTATAAGCTAGGAATTAATTAATTATTGGCTCAATTAATTGATTTTTTTAGCTTTAAATAGCGCAGAAGAAATCGGTAATGTGAATTGTTATCCTAATTACATGAAATTAACTTACTTAAATTCGAAGTGTCATATTAATTCCTGATTATTTTTGTTTTCGAACAAAATTTCTAAGTAAAAGTTTTATTGTCGATTTATTTATTAATTAGATAAATTTCTTTTGGATGAGAACTTATGCATATTGCAATTCTCTTAGATGTTTGCATTACTAAACTCTGTAAACAAATATAAATGTTTGTAAGCCCAATAGTCGTATTAAGCCAAACAATTGCCTGATTAGATCAATATATATTATTGCTGCTATTAATAATTAAATGCAAGCAATTTGGCCTAGAGGTAGGCATTAGGCACCATCTCTTACACCTACTTCTAGGCTAAATTACTTGGTATTTAATTATTAATAGTAGCAGAAATATAGCTTGATGTAATTGGGCAATCATTTGACTTTAATATTACTGTAAACTTAATTATTTCCAGTCATAAATTCAATTAGTTCTGTAAAATGATTATGAAAATATTGAAGAATTTGTAATATCACCCTCAAAAAAAAAAAAATAATAATTATGATACGATAATTTGTTTTAAATATTTCTAATCAAATGGAGTATATCATAAAAAGGGTAAAGAAATGAAACTAGAAGTTATTATAATTATAAATAATTAGTTTCTTACTATTTATATTATATGTGTGTTTATAATTATATATAAATAGAGAGAGAGAAACTATTTATATATAATTATAAACACATTTTGCTGATCAATGTTGTTCAGTCCTTTAAAGTTAATAATAGGGCTTCAGTTTTAAAATTGCAGATCCATACATTCTCACTGTTGGCTGTCTATCCAATTATCCTTTGTTAATCTCGAGAACAGAGTTAGATGAAAGGCATGACCAAATTTGGAAAGCACGGGGACCAGATGCCCTGATTAACTATACACAAACCTCCAGTCTGGATCGGAAATCATGTGGTTTCCATTCAAAACTTTTTACTTTACTATATAGAGTGATAAATTTAATATAGAATTGATCCTTATAATATATCACTCGACCCTCTAAGGTGTACAATGTTCATGTAATATCAGAATTTTGCACATGAATTTGCTGATATGATAACAAAATGCTAAAAACTTAATGATCAAAGCATTTTTAGACTTAGAACAATTATGATTTAAATGTCAAGCAATGCTCTTCAATTATAAGCAATATTTTTAACAGCTGAATATATTATAAATTAAACTTTTTTATCCTTTAAAATTAATGTTTAAAATAGCCTAATAATAGATAGATAATCTGGCAGATTGTCTAGCAATATGAATATATTGGATGATAGTTTATCATATATATATATAAATTAAATGGTTTCAAACGAAATACAATGACACAGTTATAAGTGCTGAGAATTTAAATATTGCTACGTAAGATGATAAACTCAATAAATAACTTTTATAAGCAGTGGAAAAAATTTTTTAATCGCTATTGTTTTTGGCCATTTTTTTAATGATCTCCTTCGTTTAACAGAGGAAATCGTCTACTATTCGAATAAGGTCGTTAAAAAATGGCTGAAAACATCAGTGATTAAAAGTCTTTTCTGCCACTTATAAAGGTTATTCATTGGAGTTTGCTAACAATTTTTCAAAAATTATTTTAATCTGTTTTTATTTTTGTCATTTAATTATTATTTGTATGTATATATCATTTTTTTTCTCAAAATTACTTTTTGTAATTTTATATTATGCTTTATTTAGTTTGAAAAATTGTTTAATTTACTACTTTATGCTGCTATTAGTAGTGTTTATAATTTATTGTTGGTCATTTAACTCTGTTCTTTTACATAAATATACTCCAAAGTGTTATTCGGATAAAAGAATCCAGTTGTTTTATAATAGATAAAAATGTTTTCTGAGACTTGCATCTCATCATCAGTATGTAATTAAATCATTTAAAGAGTGAAAGATGTGTTCTCAGTAGCATTTCAATTCATTAGTTTCAAATTTGAGCAAATGTTCTAAAATTTCAGGTAACATTCCAAATCATTTTTGTTATGTTGTGTGTAGAAAAACAATATAAAAATGATAAACGTGATAAAATAAAATTAAAAGTAGTAATAAAAAACAAAAATAGCCGACAGTAGTTTGAGGATTCTTGTTTCTTGATTTTACCAAGGTGTTAGATTCTTGGATCTTTTCCTTTTGTTTCTTATTACTTTTGTCATGTAAAATTCAGAATCAAGATAATCAGAAATGCACATTCAAAATTGGACTGATGGTGGTTGCTATTATCAACTCTTCAGCTGTACTTGCTTGTATATTGTGCATGCATGCATGTATGTATGTATAAGTACAGTTTTGGCTTCTTGCCATTCAACAGTAGCCTCTTATCGGCTATGGGGTATTCTGCTATTATTGTAATTACTTTGATACTGTAAATGAAGAGAAACACCCAAAGCTAGCACAAATTAACTCAAAATAGTATTTTTACTAATGTTTTT